AAACACAATAAAATAGTATATATATAAAAAAAGGAGTAGAAGAAGTTACAATCTTCAGTTCTGGAGTTGGTTCGAGGCAGTGAATAAAACAGACCAAGTCTCTGCTCTGGTGGTGTTCACATTCTGGTGGGGGAGACAGAGACACATAAATAAAAATATGTAGTATATCAAGCAGAGTTGCATGACATACCATTTGCAGAAAAACAAAGCAGGAAACTGATGCTATTTTAAGTAACATGGTCAGATAAAAGACCAGTAAGTCAGGGGGATATCTTGGGTGTGGGTGGAATTTTAGGCAGTCTAAGATGGGGACAAATTTGGTAGGTTCAAAAAACAAGACCACCACCTGTCTATAAGTTGCTTGTTCTGTGGTAGCTTGTGTGTTGCTGTGATGATGAAACTATGCCACCGGTATTTCAAATACCAACAGGGGTCATCCACAGTGAATAGGTTTCAATGGAGTTTCCAGAGTAAGACAGACTAGGAAGAAAGGCCTGGTGATCTACTTCTGAAAATTAACCAAGGAAAACCTTCTGTGGATCATAACAGGTCATTGTCCAACTCGCTTGTTTTGGGCACGTCATCAGGAGGGATCAGTCGTTGGAGGAGGATATGTTTGGCGAAGTACAAGGCCGGAGAGGGCAAAGGAGACCCGCGGCGAGATGGATTGACATAACAGCTGCAGCGATGGACTTCAACATGCCAGTGATCGTGACGATGACACAGGATCGGGCAAGGTTTCATTCTGTTGTACGTGAGGTCGCCATGAGTCAGAGTTGACTTGACAGCAGTTATCTAAGGAACAAGAAGGCTGATGTGGCTGGAATCCCATGAGGGCCAGGCTAGTAGGGCATGAGGTGGGCGAGGGGAGGAGGATAGATCATACATACCATGGCCAGACTTTGGCTTCTAATCTGAGTGAAGTGGGAACCATGGGAGGAGTTTGAGCAGAGGATGGACAGGCTCTGACTTAGACTTTAACAGGATCCTCTGGCTGCTGTGTGGGGAGCTAACTGCAGGGAACCATGATGAGAAGACAGACTAGTAAGGGGGCCACTGCACTGAAAGGGTCCAGGTGAAAGATGGTGGCAGCTGGACCAATGTGATAGCAGAGGAGGTGGTGAGAAGTGGTTGAAAACTGAGGTATTTTGAAGATGGAGCCCAGATGGATGGGCTGTGGAATGTGAGAGAAAGAGAAGCATAAAGGATGACCTCAAAGTTTTTGGCCTGAGTACCCAGAAATATGGAGTTTCCATCAACTGAGATTTGGAAGATGTGGGAGGAGAGATGAGAGCAAATCTAGAGTTCAGTTTGGGCACTGTGACATTTGAGTTATGTATTGGACATCCAAGGGAGGATGTTGGTGGACACTGGGATATACAATTATCAAAAACTTTGGGAAACAGCTCGGACGTACATCATTATCAAAAGGAGAAGGGGAAGAACTGAATTAAGCACTCTGGTTAAAATTTCCAAAAGAGAACTACAACTTTTTAATAACTCTAAGGAAAGTGGGAGGAAGCAAAGAACAAATGTGAAATAAAGAAGAAAGCCACAGTGACCAACCAAAACCCATTGCCGTCCAGTCAATTCCAAAGCGTAGAGACCCTATAGGACAGGGTAGAACTGCTCCATAGGGTTTCCAAGGACTGCTGACCTTTTGGTCAGCAGCCTTAACTCTTAACCACTGCGCCACAAGTGACCAACAGGAGGGTTGAACTGCAAACTTCAAACTAGTCCTTGGAAAAACCACTAAGACCTGGTTCTTTGAAAACTTAAGGAAATAAAGAATTTTATAGAAGTAACACATTTTATAGAAAATATAGACAAAAACGAAAGATACAAATAAAATTAGGAACAAAGAAAGGAGAGCTCCAGCAAACAAAAATCAAGATTTTTTTCTTTTAATGATCAAAGGAATTCTATGTAAAATTGTGCAGAAATACATTTGATAACTTCCATGAAATTAATTCCTCTTAACAAAAACTAAGGCTAATGCAATAAAAAATGAAAACAAATTAAAAAAATACAAAATACAAAAAATGCAAACGACTTTTTCTTTTTATGTTATCAAAGAGTAACTTTTCATAATGCTACCTGGCCCCGGTGGATTAACGAGAGGATTTTTCCAACTTTTCAAGAAGCTGTATAAATTGTCTCAGAGCATAATTAATTCTACAAGGCAGTGTAGGTCTCAATACTTCATGCACAAGAATTCTGAATAAAATAGCAAGGAATAAAATTTATATTGTTGAGAGCTTGCTATGCGTCCCTGTGTCAAGTAAAGCAAAAAGAGATAGCAAGTAAGAGGTTCCCACCATCCGTGATCTCACAGTCTAGTCAGAAGAAAACAAGGTATAGACAAATAAAGATACTTTGGTTCTTTCCAAGTCCTGAAGTCCGCTGAAGGGTGGAGGAGAGACAGAAAGGAAAGTGGCCCAGTTGTTGCCCTTGGGGAATTTACAGTCTAGCTGGGAATTTGTGTTCCCAAAACTCAGAGAAGGAAAGAACATTTCCTCCCTGGGAGGTGAATGAATGAATCAGGGAGGGTTCTCTGAAGGAAGTGTCATTTGATTGAGGCTTTGAAGGCAAATTTTCATGGTTAAGAGCATGGACATTGGAGTCAAACAAACCTGGAATCGAATCCCAGCTCTACAATTTCTTCACTGCGTGATTTGGGGCAAACGACCTCCCCTCTCTAAACCGCAGCTTGTAAAATGAAGCACCTCACCCCTACTTCCCTGGATTAACTTTAAAGGTCAAACTACGCATAAAATCTTGTCCTGGAGTAATGACTCTGTGATGGTTAATGTTATGTGTCAACTTGACTAGATTATAATTCTCAGTGGTTTGGCAGACACTACGTATCTTCCCATTTTATGACCTGATGTGAGCAGCCAATCAGTTGGAAGAGGAGTTTCCTTGGGGACGTGGCCTGCATTCACAATATAAACGGATGTTCTGGCAAAGCTCGCCCTCTTTGATCCTATATCTGTGTCGTCATCCTCTGACTTCCAGTTCTTCGGACATGAGAAGCCCTCAGCTTGCTGCCTGAGCTGCAGATTTTTGATTTGCCGGCCCTTGCAATCACGTGAGTCAGGAGAAGCCTCCAGCCTGCTGCCTGACCCACGGATTTGGGACTTGCCAGCCTCCACCATTGTGTGAGCCATTTCTCTGAAATAAATCTCTCTCCATATAGTGACATACATGCTTCACTGGTTTGCTCATCTAGAGAACCCAGCCTAAGACAGACTCCATACACAGGTGCCTCTACTCTGTGACTTAAAAAACCTGCAACAGGTAAAAATGGGCAGATTCTACCCCAGAACTGTGTAATGGAATTTTCTGTGATGATGGAAATGTTCTATGATTCCGTGCTGTCCAATATGGTAGCCACCAGTCACTTGTGGCTATTGAGCACTTGAAAAGTAGTCGGTACAACTGAGGAATTAGTATTTTGCTGTGATTTACTTGATTTAAATTTGAATAGGCACAGACAGCTAAAAACCAAAATAATAATAATAACCCACTGTCATGGAGTTAATTCTGACTCATGACGACCCCATGTGTTACAGAGTAGAACTGTGCTCCATAGGGTTTTTTGGCTGTAATCTTTATGGAAACAAATTGCCGGGCCTTTTTCAGCATCACTGGGTAGGTTTAAACTGCCAACCCTTCGGTTAACAGTTGAGAGCAAACTGTTCCGTGATTACCAGTTATTTGTATTCTGGAGGCTTCAAGGAGAATCTGTTTCCTTGTCTTTTTCAGCTTCCAGAGGCTGCCTGCATTTCTTGGCTCATGGCCTCTTCCTCACATCACTTCAACCTCTGCTTCTGTCATTACACCTTCTGCTACTGACTCTTACTCTCCTGCCTCCTTCTTGTAAAGACCCTTGTGATGACATTGGGCCCATCTGGATAATCCAGGATAATGTCCTCATCTCAAAATCCTTAATTTAATCACATTTGCAAAGTCCCTTTTGCCAGGTAAGGTAACATATTCACAGGTTTAGGGGGTTAGTATGCGGATCTTTGGGGGCCTACTGCAGGTCTCAGCAGCTAGAGCACATGTGTGCCCCGTGGTGGAGAGACGCCTGGAATACCAAGCTAAGGAGCTTGGATATGACCTTTCCTTCCAAATAAAATCAGTTGCCATCGAGTTGATTCTGATTCACGGAGATCCCACGTGTGTCAGAATAGAACTGTGCTCTCTAGGGTTTTCAAGGCCATGATCTTTCAGAAGCAGTTCACCAGGCCTTTCTTCTGATGCCCTGCATGTGGGTTCCAATAGCCAACCTTTCAATTAATGGTCAATCGCTTAACGTTTGCATGACCCAGGGACTCCTCCTTCAAAACCGATGCTTAAAATATAATTGAGTTATGTTTTATCAACTGAATATAATATATGGGAAATAGAAATATCATATGTATCAGAATGTAGATTTGGAAAAGGCAGTTTGAGGATTACTTCCTTATTAGATGGCCTTCATTGTTTTAATATTCTGTGTGTAATAAAAGTTTAAATGCTCAAAAAGAAAAGATGCTCCATCTGCCAACTTCTTACAGCCTCTACTGCTATTACCTTGGTCCAAGTCTCCATCACCTTTTGCTCGGACCATTGCAGTAGCCTCTTCATGTGGCAACTCACTTCCGCACTTGCCCCTTCCACCTCCCCATAGTCTAGTCTTCACCAGCAACCAGAGGGATCCTATTAAAACCACTCCTCAGAATAGGGTTGCCAAATTTAAGAGGAAAAAATGACAGAATACCAAGTTAACTTTGAATTTCACATAAATAAGATGCACCTTCCATGCCAGCCAATGCACCTCACGCACAGCCTCCACTCGTCTGTCAGTGGAGGCCTGCGTGTTGCTATGATGCTGAACAGGCTTCAGCGGTGCTTCCAGACTGAGACAGACTGGGAAGAAAGGCCTGGCAATCTACTTCCGAAAATCAGCCAGTGAAAACTCTATGGATCACAACAGTCTGATCCACAACTGATCATGGGGATGGTGCAGCACTGGGCAGCATTTCGTTCCATTCTGCACGGGTCACCATGAGTCGGGGGCCAAACTGATGGCAGCTACCAACAACGACAAACGTCCCAAATATCTCATGGGACATATTTATATTTAAAAATTATTCATTGTTTATCTGAAATTTAAATTTAACTGTGCATCCTGTATCTTATCTAGCAACCTCAGCTCAGAACGCTCCCAGTGTTTCCCGAAACACTTGCTGTGACCTAGAAGGCTGTAAAAATCTGGCCCTTCCTATATCTCTGGCCTCATCTAATACCATTCTTCCCCTTGCTCATTCTACTCCATCCACACTGGCCTCCCCACTGTTCCTAAAGTATGCCAAGCACTTCATGCCTCAGGACCTTTGTACTTGTTCTTTCCTCTGCTTGGAGCACTTTTCCCCTAGATTTAAGCATGGTTCCTCCCTCCCTTCCCTTCATCAGGTCTTGGCTCACATATCGTCTTCCCCAAGGGGCCTTGCTTGGCTGGCCTATATCCCTGCCCCAACCCACCCTCACACTACTTTAGGTTTCTTAGCACTTATCACCACCTGACATTTTCTGCATGCCTTTGTTTGCTTGCTATCTGTCTCTGTCCACTAGAATATCAGCTCCATGTGGGCAGGGATTTATGTCTGTTTTGTTCATTACTGTATCCTCAGTGCTTAGACAGAGCTTTCCACATAGCAGATGCACAGTGAATGATTGCTGAATAAAGGAAGGAACAAATGAAGACATTGTTGAGCCCCTGGATCTAGCTATGCCTGAAGCCAGTTTTGTGAAACAGGATCAAATGATACGAACAAGTTTCCCTCTAGCCTACACTTCTACCTCCGAGACCAGGTCATGGCTGGTGGATTTCTTGCTCAACACACTTTCCTCTTTGCTCTGGGACTCCCTCAGGGCCCAGCGACACGCAGCTGGCAGTGACTGGCAGAGTTGTGCCCGCCCAAAGTATAGGAAGAGTGTGGGATTGAGGCAGCTGTGAGCCAGGGCAAGGCCCACAACCAGGGGCTCACCCCTCAGGGCCCTGGCCAGGAGCACGGAATTGGGGGCAGCAACAGCAAGTACTAGCCTCAGCACGTGATAGGGGGTCCAACAGACAAAAAACCCCACCACTACGGCGGTGCCCAGTGGCCTGTGGCATTGGGCTACACGACACATGAGGGCACTGTGGCAGCTGACCACGACCAGCAGTGGCCCCAAGAAGCCGGCAATAAATCGGATGGCAGTCACCATGCCTTCAGCCGTGGCTGAGCCACCATAGTCCACCACGCACTCCAGCCGGGCTGGGAAGTGTTCCTTGTACAGCCGGCGGTAGATGGCAGAGGGTACAGTCAGCAGCAAGGCCAGGGCCCAGGCTGCCACACAAGCTGCCTGCACCCTGTGTGTCCGCCTGGTGACAGCCCCCCAGGTAGGCTTGAAGGCCAGCAGACAGAGGTCAGCACTGAGCGCGGTCAAGAGCAGGACGCTGGCGTACATGGACAGCAAGATGACAGAGGGCAGAACGTGACAGCTCACTGCCCCGTATGGCCAATGGCCTTCATAGGCAATGGGCACCGCCAGAATGGGAAGAGAGAGACAGCAGAGCAGGTCGGCCACGGCCAGGTGGAGGAACCAGGTGGCCCTGGTGCGCTGACGGGCCTCCTTTCCCGTCACCCAGGCCACCATGGCATTGCCCGGTATGCCCACGAGGAAGACCACGGCATACAGCAGGAGCGGCGCCATGCGGAGGGTGTCGGCGGTGAGGCAAAATTCATCTGGGCAGTCCACGGGGAGACTCGGAATCTCACCGTAGTCCTTGTAGTCGTAGGTGACAGACGCGTTCTCCATCCAAGTGCTGGACGCCTGGACAGGAGAGAAACACCGTGAACCTCAGCGACGGAAATGAATGAAGATCCTTGGAATCTTAAGGGTAGGAACCCCAGCCCATTAGCCTCTTGGAAACTAGAATATTACAATGATAGAACCCCAAAGCGTTAGCTTATTATATGATTCTGTCTTGAATGATAGATTATTATAATACTAGAACTCAAGCACGTTGCTGTTGTCAGGTGCTGTTGAGTCGGTTCCCACGCCATGTACAGGTAGTCCCCGACTGACAACGTACACACGTACGGCTAACCGCACTTACGACCGTCTTTTTTTTTTTTTTTTGGACATCTTATCATTAGTGAACTGGAGCCCTGGTGGCACAGTGGTTAAGATTTCGGCTGCTAACCAGAAGGTCGGCAGTGCAAATCCACCAGCTGCTTCTTGGAAACCATATGGGGCGATTCTACTCTGTCCTATAAAGTTGCTATGGGTCAGAATGGAGTCCACGGCAACAAGTTTGTTTTGGTTTATCACTAGTAATACGTCCTGCATAGAATGTTGCAGTGTGTAATTTGCTGATGTTATCATTTTCAGATGTTCACCCCTAGATGTTCAATGTTATGATTTACTGTTCAAAACACTGCTGTATGGCAGGCTATGAAAACTAAAAAAAAAAGAAAGAAAAAGACAAGAGATACTCAACTTACATCACAACCGACTTACGACAGAGTCGTTGAAACTGAACCCCCTCGTAAGTCTGGGACTACCTGTACAACAGAACTAAATGCCGCCTGGTCCAGTGCCCTCCTCACAATTGTTGTAATGCTTGAGCCTATTGTTGCAGCCACTGTGTTGATCCATCTTGTAGAGGGTCTTCCTTTTTTTCGCTAACCCTCTACTTTATCAAGCATGATGTCCTTCTCCAGGGACTGGTTCCTCCTGGTAACATGTCAGAATATTGGAATTCTAGAACACTGAAATGTCAGAAGGCAAGTTAGGCAGCAGCTTGAAAGAGTAGATAGGAAACTTAGGGGGCAGTGAGTTTCTGTTAATGGCAGAGGAACGACTTGGAAGAAGAGTGTGAGAATGGTTGCACATCTTGAAGAATGTAATCAATGTCACTGAATGTAGAGGTTGTTGAATTGGTGTATGTTCTGCTGTGTATATTCTCAACAGCAACAAACCAAAAAAACTCACTGCCGTTGATTGCGACTCATACACCAGGGCTCCTTTAACAACAACAAAAATAAATTATTTAAATAGATAGATAGACAGACAGATAGATAGATAGATGGATACCACCACTCGTCTGTCATTTCATCGTACTGTGGTGGCTTGCATGTTGCTGTGATACTGGAAGCTATGCTACCAGTATTTCAAATACCGGCGGGGTCACTCATGGTGGACAGGTTTCAGTGGAGCTTCCAGATTAAGACAGACTAGGAAGAAGGACCTGGCAATCTACTTCTAAAAATAATTGGCCAGTGAGAACTTTATGAATAGCAGCAGAACATTGTCTGATATAGTGCCAGAAGATGAGCCCCTCAAGTTGGAAGGCACTCAAAATACGACTGGGGAAGAGCTGGTTCCTCAAAGTAGAGTCAAGCTGAAGGACGTGGTTGGAGTAAAGCTTACAGGACCTTCATTTTCTGAGGCGGTACAACTCAAAATGAGAAGAAGCAGCTGCAAATACCCATTAATAATCAGAACATGGAATGTACAAAAATTGGAAGTCGTCAAAAATGAAATGGAACACAATAAAGATCAATATTCTAGGCATTAGTGAACAGAAATGGACTGGTATTGGCCATTTTGAATCAGACAATCATATGCTGGGAATGACAAACTGGAGAGGAACAGCATTGCATTCCTTATCAAGAAGAACATTTCAAGATCAATCCTGAAGTACAACGCTGTCAGTGATAGGATAATATCCATATGCCTACAAGGAAGACCAGTTAATACGACTATTACTCAAACTTACCCACGAACCACTAATGCCAAAGATGAGCAAATTGAAGATTTATATATATATGTGTTGTACTCTAGGTGAAGTTTTACAGAACAAATAGTTGCTTATTACACAGTCAGTATGCATATTGTTTTATGACGTTGGTTAACAAGCCCACAACATGTCAACACTCTCCCTTCTCGACCTTTTGGTGGAAGTATACGTAGCCAGAGTTACACCATTTCAAAAATCTCTACATGTACAATTCAGTGACATTGATTACATTCTTCCAGTTGTGCTTCTATTCTCACTATCCTTTTCCAAATTATTCCATCACCATTATTTTCAACCCACTACCCCCTAGGCTTCCCGTCAAACCTTTTGAGTTGCTGTTGTCAATTTGATCTCACATAGATAATTCTTTTTTTTGGTACCTTAGACGAAGGTTTGCAGAACAAATAGTTTCTCGTTAAACAGTTAGTACACATATTGCCCTGTGACAATTGTTAACAACCCCGACATGTCAACACTGTCCCTTCTCAACCTTGGGTTCCCTATCACCAGCTTTCCTGTCCCCTCCTGCCTTCTAGTTCTTGTCCCTGGACTGCTGTGCCTCATTAGTCCTGTTTTGTTTTATGAGGCTGTCCAGTCCCTGGCTGAATGGTGAACCTCGGGAGTGACTTCACCACTGAGCTGAGAAGGTGTCCGGAGGCCATCCTCTCGGGGTTTCTCCAGTCTCTGTCAGGCCAGTAAATCTGGGAAATTGAAGATTTTTTTACCAACTTCTGCAGTCTGAAACTGCAGTCAAGGTGCATTGATAATTACTGGTGATTGGAATGCAAAAGTTGGAAACAAGAAGGATCGGTAGTTGGAAAATATGGCCTTGGTGATAGAAACGACAACAGAGATCATATGATAGAATTTTGCGAAACCAACGACTTCTTCATTGCAAATACCTTTTCTCAGCAACATAAGTGGTGACTATACACGTGGACCTCGCCAGATGGAATACGTAGGAGTCAAATCAACTACATCTGTGGAAAAAGACGATGGAAAAGCTCAATATCATCAGTCAGAACAAGGCCAGGGGCCAACTGTGGAACAGACCATCAATTGCTCACATGCAAGTTGAAGTTGAAGCTGAAGAACAGTAGAACAAGCCCACGAGAGCCAAAATACAACCTTGAGTACATCCTACCTGAAGGTAGAGACCATCTCAAGAATAGATTTGGCACATTGAACACTAATGACCGAACGTCAGATGAGTTACCTGGCCAGCTGACTGGAAAAGACCCATATGTATGCCTATTCCAAAGAAAGGTGATCCAACGGAGTGCAGAAATTATTGAACAATATCATTAACATCACACGCTAGTAAAATTTTGCTGAAGATAATTTAAAAGTGGTTGCAGAAGTACATCGACAGAGAACTGCCAGAAATTCAAGCCAGATTCAGAAGAGGACGTGGAACTAGGGATATCATTGCTGATGTCAGATGGATCTTAGCTGAAAGCCCAGAATACTGGAAACCTGTGTGTTATTGACTAAGCAAAGGCGTTCTACTGTGTGGATCACAACAAGTTATGGATAACATTGCTAAGAATGGGAATTCCAGAACACTTAATTGTGCTCACGCAGAACCTGTACATAGATCAAGAGGTAGTCGTTCGACCAGAACAAGGGGACACTGGGTGGTTTAAAATCAGGTAAAATGTGTGTAAGAGTTGTATCCTTTTACCATACTTATTCAAAGTATATGCTGAACAATAATCCAAGAAGCTGGACTATATGAAGAAGGCAGCATCAGGATTGGAGGAAGACTCATTAACAACTTGTGATATGCAGATGACATAACCTTGCTTGCTGAAAGTGAAGAAGACTTGAAGCACTTACCGGTGAAGATCAAAGACCAGTCTTCAGTAAGGATTACACCTCAACATAAAGAAAACAAAAATCCTTACAACTGGACCAATAAGCAACATCATGATAAATGGAGAAAATATTGAAGTTGTCAAGGATTTCATTTTACTTGGATCCACAATCAACACCCATGGAAGCAGCAGTCAAGAAATCAAACAACATATTGCATTGGGCAAATCTGCTGCAAAAGACTTCTTTTAAAGTGTTAGAGAACGAAGATGTCACTTTGAGGACTCAGGTACACCTGACTCAAGTCATAGTATTTTCGATTGCCTCATATGCATGCAAAAGCTGGACGATGAATAAGGAAACCAAAGAAGAATTGATGCCTTTGAATTATGGTATTGGGGAAGAATTTTGAATAAACTAGGGACTGCCAGAAGAATGAACAAATCTGTTTTGGAAGAAGTACAGCCAGAATGCTTCTTAGAAGCGAGGATGGTGAGACTTCCTCTCACATACTTCTCAGGAGGCACTAGTTCCTGGAGAGGGACTTCATGCTTTGTAAAGTAGAGGGTCAGCAAAAAGGAGGAAGACCCTCCAGGATACAGATTGACACAGTGGCTACAACAATGGGCTCAAACATAGCAATGATTGTGCAAAACTGGGCAGTCTTTCATTCTGTTGGTACATAGCATCTCCACGAGTCGGAACCAACTCAATGACACGTAACAACAGTAGATAGATAAATAACACACCTCTGCTGGAATTTTAAATGGGTGGTCAGCGAGGGTCTCTATGAGAAGGTGATATTTGAGCAAAGACCTCAAGGAGGTTGGGGGGAGCCATATAGAGGTCTGGGGGAAGAGTGTTCCAGGAAGAGGGAACAGCAGTGGTGAAGGTCCTGAGGTGGGAACGTGCTGGTCCTGTTCAAGGAAGAGCAAGGCCACCAGTGTGGCTGCAGTGGAGTAGGCAAAGAAGGGAGTGGAGCGAGGTAAGAGCAGAGAGATGTTAGGGCCAGACCATGTAAGGCCAAATGGGCATTGCAAAGACTTTGTCTTTTATTCCAAGTGAGATGGGCACCGTGGGAGGGTGCTGATTAGATGACCCATGTGATCTGTCATAGCACTAATATTAATAACAGTTGTTGCTATTACCAGTTGTCAGGGAGTTGATTCCGACTCATGGTGACCCCGTATGTGTCAGAGTAGAACTGTGCTCCATAAAGTTTTTCCAATGACTGTGATTTTCTGAAGGAGCCCTGGCGGCACAGTGGTTAAAGTGCTCACCTGCTAACCAAAAGGTCGGCTGTTCAAACACACCAGCCATTTGGCAAGAGAAAGACCTGGCAGTCTGCTTCTCTAAGGATCACAGCCTTGGAAACCCTATGGGGGCAGTTCTACTCTGTCCTATAGGGTCACTACAGGTCAGAATCGACTCGATGGCAGCAGGTTTGGTTTGGTGGCTGTTTCAGAAGCCTGTCACCAGGATTTTCTTCCAAGGTGCCGCTGGGTGGATTTGAACTGCCAACCTTTCAGTTAGTAGCTGAGCACTTGACCATTTGTGCCACCCAGGGACTCCATTATTATTATTGATTATTATTTTTATTAGAAGCCATCATTTATTAAGCACGTTATGTGCCAGACACTGCTGCAAACACCTGTCGACATTATTTTCAAGCAATCCTTATAACAACCCTTTTTGATTCTGAGCCTATTGTTATACCCATTCTGCAGACAACGAAACTGAGGCACAAAGGAATTAAGTAACTTACCTAAGATCACTCAGCTAAGTAAGTAGTGGAGCTGAGTTTGGAATTGTGTTAGTCCCACTCCGGAACCCCGTGCCCTAGAATATTATCATCCAGAAATTGTAGACTCTGGAGATGAGAAGTCTGGGCAGCAGTAGCCCTGACAGACCCAGGCTCTGCAAACCTGGGCAAACAGGTTTCGGTTGGCTCTCTGGGTTTCCTCATTTGGAGAATGAGAGTCACCCTGGGGAACCTCCCTCGCCAGTTCGGGGAGAACTTGA